CACCGCGCCGCGGCAGCGGCAGCGGCAGCGGCAGCCTGGGCCTTGATGACCAGCGCACGCCGGCCCGGGGCGGGCTCGGCGGTAGGGCTCGGCGAAGGGCGAGCGCCGCGGAGACCTGTTCTGATGCGGGGGCTGAGCCGCGAGGCCCCCGTCTCCGCCGCCGCCGCCTCCCCGGCCCGCGCTTCCAGTCGCTCCGCTCCGCCCGGCCCGCCTCTCCGCAGCCCGCGCTCCCCGCCGACGCTGCGCAGCCACCGAGCCACCGACCTCACTTCCGCCTGGAGCGCGCCGCGGCGGGGACGCGCCGGGCACGTGACTGTATGGCTCCGTCCAGACTGGGGTGGCGGCGTGCTCGCTCCCGCCGGCGTCTGAGAGACGCCCGGATGGAATCTGCGGGGAGCACCGCGTGGTGCGACCCCTGGCTGGGCTACCCCAGGGTCCGTCGTGCGGAGCTTGTAAGGCGAGAAGCCCGAGCAGCTAGCGGCGCCCGTGGGGATGTCTGTGTTGACCTTAAGGAATAGGTGCTTACTATGGACTTTTTCCTCGCGCCATTTTTGCCTTTCTAATGCAATATGGAAAGAACGTATTGGAACATAATTACAGAATTGTACTGATTTCTTAGAAAAAATGCATTTCATTTCGTATTTTTAAAATACGTACGATCCTGCCACTGTACTGCAGGAACCTGTGTGTAAATGCAGACGGCAAAGGTGCAGTGGTGGTGTGTGACCCGGTCCTGGCTGTGATGCCCAATGGTGGCAACTGAGTAGAAGGCTCACTCAGCACCCCCAGCCAGGGCTGGTGTGGTGGCGTGCAGGTGAAGGGCTATCCCACAGAGCGGCATGGGAGCCCGGCCTTGAACACCCTAAGGACCGTCGCAACAAAGCACGTCCCAGCGACGCTGGGGCACCACGTAGAGGCTGCGGGCATAGGCACTGACTGCATTCACTCTGCTAATCATGGTTTCCAGTGCTCTGCATTCCTTAAGTCATTCAATATTTGTGATAAATCATTTTACAATTGAGGGAATTAAGACACAAAGAGGCTGACAAGCTTTCAAGAACACGCTATTAGAAAGCCCACTAAGGATTCAAACCCCAACATCTGGCGTCAAAGCGCTTGCTTGTAAAGGGGGAGTTCTGAGTTTTAGTTTTCCCAGAACACCTCTAGCTACTTGCACGACATTAACAGAACCTACAAGGTCCTAGCCTGAACTGAGAGTCCGTGAGTCGGCTATGGAGAAAGGTGGAGGAATCCTGAGATGCAGGCTGAGATGGGTCTCTTGTAAGGGTCTGAAGAGAGTTGGACAATCCTGTGGGCCTGTACTCAACAGAAAGAAACCAGCAGTTTATCTTGCTGACTGTGCAGGTAACAACCGGATCTGGAGGGACACTCACTATATACAGTTCCTCAAGACTCTACCTAGCATATCTGTTAAGAGTTCTGGGTACAGATTAAAGTAGTCTCAAAGGAGATGATTCCTGGCAAGCTGTAAATGTTGACAGTTGTAAAAAAACAATGTTACTTTTTAAAACATCCATGAGAATATAAACACTATGGTGATTCAATTCGCATTTTTTTCCATTTAAAAAAGACATGAGTAAATTCTATAACTAAAAGTTTAATTGCTCCTTTTTCTCCTTCCACTGCCCCCACAGAATTTTGCCCTAATATATTTGTGTGTTGAGCATCTTTTCTTTGTTTTTTCATTGTTCTTTTTTTTTTCTTAAGTTTTATTTCCTTGTTTTGTGAGAGAGAATGGGACAGAGGATCCAAAGCGGTTTCCCTGCTAACAGCAGAGGGCCCGAAGTTCAAACTCACAAACCCATGAGATCCTGACCTGAGCTAAAGTCAGATGCATAACCGACTGAGCCACCCAAGTGCCCCCTTTTCTTTCTTTCTTTCTTTTTAAATTACCGGTTTCTGTCAGGATAACTAGGAAATGCTCCAAGACCAAAACCTAAGTGTTCACACAACAGAATTTTACTTCTCACTTACACATGAAGTCAAAAGCAGGTGGGATTGTCTGAAAAACTATACAAACAATAAGAGCATTCAGCAAAAACCAATAATCAAAATGAAAAAAATATATAGCTATCATGTATCTAAATAACAACCAATTAGAAGATATAATGAAATGGTATAAAAGATCAATAGTATACAAGGATACTTACAGGATAGATAAATACATACATACATACATACATACATACATACATAAATAAAATGACATAATACCTAGCAATAAACTTTCATAAGAATTGCACAAGATTGGGGCGCCTGGGTGGCGCAGTCGGTTAAGCGTCCGACTTCAGCTCAGGTCACGATCTCGCGGTCCGTGAGTTCCAGCCCCACGTCGGGCTCTGGGCTGATGGCTCAGAGCCTGGAGCCTGTTTCCGATTCTGTGTCTCCCTCTCTCTCTGCCCCTCCCCCGTTCATGCTCTGTCTCTCTCTGTCTCAAAAATAAATAAACGTTAAAAAAAAAAAGAATTGCACAAGATTGACGTGAATAAAACTTTGAATAATACCTGAATGGCACAAAAGAACACTTAAACGTGGAGAAAAACATATTCTTGGAAAAGTGGATTTAACATCAAAGAGATGTCAATGCTCCCTAAGTTAATTTACAAATTTAAATGCAATTCCTATAAAACGCCAATAATTATTTTTAACTAGATGAAGTGATTCTAATTTGCCTCTAGGAAATAATCAAGAAGAATTAAAAGAAAGAATCTGCCAGGAAAACTTTGAAAATAAAGAGTAATAGGGAGGGAGCTGGCAACTAGACGTACCAAATAAGAAAACATATTTAAAAGCCTCATTAAAGGGGCACCTGCCTGTCTCAGTCAGTAGTGCATCTGACTCTTGGGGTCATGAGTTTTAAAAAAAAAATTTTAAATAAAAGCCTCAATAAAGCAGTGTGTCACTGAAATACGAATACACAGACTAATGATATATATAATGTTAAACCCAGAAATACACCCAAATAATTTTGGGAAGCCACCAGGTATGAAGATCAATTATTCAATAAATGGCATTGGGACAAAAATATAGCCATCTGAAAAAACATAAAATTGGGTCCATACCTTACACTATACTAGAATTAAATCCAAATGAAGAAAGATATGAATGTATAAGAAGAACAAGAAGAAAACATGGGAAAAAATCCTTTTTAATCTTAGAGTAAATAAGGCCATTCTAACTCCTGTTCAAAATCCAAAAGCCACATTATGAAAAACTTTGGTTTGGCAAAAAGTGCCATGAACATAGTCAAAAGACAGATGATTAACAAGGAATAAATAGTTCCAACACATATGATAGACAAAGGGTTAATCTCCCTAGCATAGAGAACTTTCAAAAGTTAATAAGAAAAAAAGTCCTACAACTCAATAAAAAAACAATGAGGGGAGTTCACAGAAAAGAAAGTAAATGGCTCTTAATCACATGAAAAAAATCCAACCTCACTCAAGAGAAGAATGCAAGTTAAATTTCTTTGAGATAGCATTCTCCCCCATTTGATTGGCAAGCATCCAAAAAATTGACAGTACACCTTATGAATGTGGCTGTGGGGAAGCAGGCACATTGCTAGAGTGTAGAAGGGACCACTTGATGTATTATGACAAGTATACACAAAATATTTGACTCAACAATTCTACTTCTGGGAATCTGTCTATAGAGATGCTTGCTGGTGTAAAATGAAATAGGCGCAAGTTCATACATTGCAGTATTTTTTAGAGTAGCAAAATATTGGAAACAACCCTAGTGTCCATCAATAGGGGACTGATTGGCTGGTTCATCTATACAATAAATTACTCTATAACTCAAAAAAGAAATGAGCAACCTTTCTATAAACTGAAATGGAGATACCATCAAGGTAGATTGTTAAATAAACAAGGCAAAGGATGGAACTGTTTCACAGGCTGAGTTATGTTCCCCCACCCCTAATTCATATGCAGAAGCCCTAACCCCCAGTACCTCAGAATCTGCATTTGCAGATAGGGCCTTTAAAGAAATAGTCAGGTTAAAATGAGGTCAGTGGGGTGGGCCCTAATCCAATCTGATTGATGTCTTTATAAGAAGAGGAGATTAGGATACAGACAACACAGATGTATGGACAGCCATGTGAGGACACAGTGTGAAGGGGTCATCTACAGGCCAAGGAGAGAGGCCTCAGGAGAATCTAACCCTACTAGCACCATGATCTTGGACTTCCAGCCTCCAGACCTGGGAGAACATAAATTTTTGTCATTTAAGCTGTTTTTTTGTGTGGTATTTGTTACAGTAGCCCTATTCAACTGTGTTAAAGAACATCATGTAAAAAGGGGAAATGAAACTATGTATTTACTTGTGTATGAAGACAGACATAATTTCTAAAATCCAAGAAACTAACAGCAGTGATTTACTGTAATGAGGCTACGGACAGAGTGGACCCTGAGCAAATGGAAGACAGGGAAGAGATGAATAATTTTCAAGGTTTGTTTTTCCTTTGAAATATATGAATGTATTACATACTCTAAAATTAAATCATAAATAAATAAAATCTCATAAATTTGCAGGAGTGTAAAATGGTATAATCATTTTAGGAAAAAGTCTTGTTTCTTAAAAAACTAATCATACACCTGACCTATCACCTAATAAATTGTAGGTATCTGCCAAAAAGAAATGAAAACATACATCCATTCAAAAGAATTGTACAAAAATGTTCATAGCAGTTTTATTGATAATAGCCAAAAATTGAAAGAAGTCCACACATCTATCATCAGGAGAACAGCTGAACCAATTCAGTAGGGTGCCTAGGGCCTGCTTACAATGGTTTGAACTAGCTCCTGAAAGCCAAAGGATACATTTTCAGGAATTTGGCAAGACACTTGGCAAGCACAATTATTAAGATCAGGTTATAGAAATTTGTTAAAAACAAAAGACGCAAAAACTTATCCCTTCCTAGTTATTGTGTTTTACTGTTGCCTGTGCCCTAAGGCTCTTTGAGGCTCTTTGGGGCTATTGGACCTGCCTGGCGGAAATGCTCTATAACACTAAGCTGCAAGAGCTTCCTTTCCTGCCTCCCATCCATGAGGTCACATTGTAGCCTGAACTCTGACCATGATAGGACTATCTACGTCATGCAACTTGTCCAATAATACTAAACAAGGCTTAATTTA